CCAGTGGTCCCAAAACATGAGCCAGGAAGCCACTGGCAGCCAGCCCTCCACCGCTCCCCAGGAGCAGTCTGCCAGCTCCTAGGAGCCTGCCAGGGCCCAGAGAAGGTGGGCACCTTTCTGGTCCAGGGTGGAGATCATGGTCCTTATTCAGGTTTGGAGGGGATGCCCCCAACGTCCAGGATTGCCACAGTATATGGAGGAATAATCTAGGGCAGGATAGCTGCCAGCCTGGCCGCCAAAGGCCACATGCAAACCCAGGAGCAGGTTCATATGAAAATCAAGTTGGTGCAGCGAGACACCAGTCAGTTAGATTAGGGGAAAAAAACTTAGGAACTCTCACTGCTCCATTTAAGGCCTTTCCCTGAAAGTGCTCTTTGGAAAAGCTTCCAGTGAAGTTAACGTGAGTTATGTGCATGGAAAGCTTGAATTACCAGACATGTAGTGTTATATGTAGCATGTCTATGTTGATACACAACATTTATAATATGTCCTGGATACTGACACCCCCCCGATACACCTCCCGGATGGCAGCCTGCAGAAAGCGCAGTCAGGCTCGCATCAACGTGTCCAAGAGCAGCACCAGAGTGGCTAGGGGCACTCCATGTTGCAGAGTGCTGTGGTGTCCTGAGTGAGGGCAAGCAGAGCACACAGAGACAAAATGCTTTGCTGTCCCTCATCGAGTTAGGTAAACAGGCAGGGAAAGCTGAGAACCGACTGTCCGAGGGGGAGGGGAGCCTTTAAACATAGGCCTCAGATAGCCTCAGGCAGCAGCCACACAAAGTAACTCCTGAGCTGATGTCCAGCCAGACCTGGTTCCAGCCGGCTTTAAATGTGATTCAGCGTCCACTCAGTGTGAACACGCTATTTCGAAATGCATTTTGTGTGTAGACGCATTATTTCAAAATAAGCTATTTCGAATTAACTATTTTGAAATAGCTTATTTCTAAATAACACAGTAGTGTAGACATACCCTCTAAGAATAAGGGTGCAAAAGCCGACTGAAGGAACTACAGAGGTATCTTGCTGCTTTCCATTGCCAGGAAAATCTTCGCCCGCATCATCCTGAACGGGCTGATTTCGACAATTTCAGAAGTGAGTCTCCCCGAGTCACAATGGGGCTTCTGCCCTAATCGCAGTACTGTCGAAATGATCTTCATAATGAGACAGGTGCAAGAGAAGTGCCTTGAGCAGAATATGAACTTCTACTCTGTCTTCATTGATCTGACGAAGGCATTCGGCATGGTCAACAGAGATGCATTGTGGATCATCCTCAGGAAGCTGGGTTGCCCACCAAAGTTCATCTCATTCATCAAGCTGTTTCACAACCACATGACAGGAGAACTACTTTCGGATTGTGTGCCATCTGAGGGTATGTCTACACTACCACCCTCATTCGAACTAGGGTGGTTAATGTAGTCATACGAATTTGCAAATGGAGCCCGGGATTTGAATTTCCCGGGCTTCATTTGCATGTTGCTGGGCGCCGCCATTTTTAAATGTCCGCTAGTGCGGACTCCGTTCCCGCGGCTACACGCGGCACGAACTAGATAGTTCGGATTAGGCTTCCTATTCTGAACTACCAGTACACCTCGTTACACCTTAGGCTTAGGAAGCCTAATCCGAACTACCTGGGGGTATGTCTACACTACAGCGCTAATTCGAACTAACTTAGTACGAATTAGTTAATTCGAACTAAGCTAATTCGAACTAACGCATCCAGACTCCGAACTATCTAGTTCGTGCCGCGTGTAGCCGCGGGCACGGAGTCCGCACTAGCGGACATTTAAAAATGGCGGCGCCCGGCAACATGCAAATGAAGCCCGGGAAATTCAAATCCCGGGCTCCAATTGCAAATTCGTATGACTACATTAACCACCCTAGTTCGAAATAGGGTGGTAGTGTAGACATACCCTGAGAAATTTAACGTTTCCAGGGCTATGTACTCGCCCCAGTGCTTTTTAACCCATTCCTCACTCAAGTTCTCATGCATGTTGTCAGAGGCCTAGATCTTGGTATTTACATCAGATACCATTTGGATGCTTCACTGTTTGATTTGAGATGCCTTACTGCAAAGACCAAGACACTAGACAAGATTATCACTGAAGTGTTGTTTGCCGATGACTGCACCCTTATGGCCAGGGCTCAACAAATAATGCAATCTACTCGCCCTGGTAAGTAGATTGCAACCCGGAAGAGCTGGGTTCCGGCGATCTGCGCATGCACAGAACAATCTGCGCATGCGCAGATCACCAGACAGTGTGGCTGGTGAGCAGGGCTCGCCACGGTTCGGCGAGCCCTGCTTATGGCACACCAAGAGAACCACCTGCAGACCATCATTGACAGGTTCTCTGAAGTACCCAAACTGTTCTGTCTCACAATTAGCCTTGGAAAGACAGAAGTCCTCTTCCAGCCCACACCAAATAGTGCTCCTCCACAGCCATGCATCACTATCGATGGCACACAACTGAAGGTAGTGTACAGCTTTAAGTACCTGGGCAGCACAAGTGATGGATCCCTTGACAAAGAGATTACAGCGAGGATCCAGAAAGCCAGTCAGGCACTTGGGAGATTGTATATTGAAGTTCTCCAGTACAAAGATATTTGCCTTTCAACTAAACTCAAGATATATAATCCCATGGTCCTCACCTCTCTCCTGTATGGCCGTGAAACATGGACCCTGTACTGTAGGCACATCAAATGGATGGAGTAGTTTCACATGCGCTCTCTACAATCAATCATGCAGGTACGCTGGCAGGACCGAATTACTAACCAAGAAGTGCTTGGTAGAGCTAGTTCCACAAGCATTGAAGCCAAGATCCTCCAGACCCAGCTTCGATGGGCTGGCCATGTTCTCCGCATGGATGAAAGCAGGATCCTGAGGTAGCTGTTCTACGGGGAGCTAGTACGTGGTAGTCACAAACAGGGACACCCGAGGAAGAAGTATAAGGACAATCTGAAGACCAACTTGCAGTGGACAGGCCTTCAACCTCGACAGCTTGAATTAGCTGCTGCAGACAGGACTTACTGGCATTCCCTTATGAGGAAAGCAGTGACAAAGTTTGAGGACGACTGCCGCCAACACCTTGCAGCTGCACATGAAAGACGACATACAGCTATGTTCCCTCCTGTCCTGACAACCAGCGTCCCATGCCCTATCTGTAACCGCATGTGTACTTTGACCTTTGGGCTCCGGAGCCAAATGTGTTTCCACAAATGAAATGCACAACATGTCTTCCTCGGCTCCCGAGAGACAAACAACAACAACAAAAGAACTACATTTTTGGCATAGTAACAAAATATAGAGGGCAGATTCTCCCCACTTAGAGTACTACATACTCAAAGGGGATTTTTGCATGAAAACCTTTTAAAAAGAGACTCTGTTGTGTGTAGTCTTTGCCATTTTACATTGAACCTCTGTATCTCTGCCCAGGCACCCAACTCACCACCACCCGAACTACACTGCCTCCTAAGACTGGTGCTCCACAGAAATAGTGATGGAGCGTGTGACTATGCCATCATTTCCATGTAACTTCTGAGAGATCAGCAGGTGGGGGGGGGAGGAGGAGGAACTGGATGATGCGTATCCCCTACCAAGTCCATCTATTCATCTTCCTGCATGACTGCTT